TAAATATTATAATAATATTATATAAAAGTGTACTTGCGTACACATTTATATCTGCGACCTTAGAAGCCATCGCAGAGTCGACTGACCTTTAAATTAATTAAAAATTATTTCTGAGGCACTTTTTCTAAAAAAATTTTGACTATTATATTAAAACAAACTCCTGTCTATTATTTTATTTAATTCGAAAAAAATATTACCGTAAATCACATTTTTTCCTGTTAATATTTTGGCTTGCATAATGCACGCTAAGAATGCCACTTAATTTTTTTTCCACTTTCCGTCTACAGAGTTGCTCATAATTTATGGCATTCTCTTTCTACCAACATTTTTATTCCAAATTAGAAAAAAAAATTATTCGTCTCCATAGCGCAGAAGACCACATTTATTGAATCACTGATCTCGAGTTGCAAAGTTGTTTTCTCTCTTCTTCTACTACTACTATTACTACTGTCGTAAATCTTACTCTAAGGAATTCGCGATCTGTACACTTTCTGTTAAAATACGGTGACGTAAAACTCGGATAGCGTCTCTTCTCCAGGATGTTTGTAGTTAAACCTAGAAGAGAACGGAACGTTGTTGCAGTCTTCCATGTTAAAGCTGTTCCGTGGAAAGAATCAAGATCTCTTGTTATCTCTAGTACCTTCGTTCACCAGTCCTTCACGAGATATTTCTGGGGTTATCTGCTGAACAGAGATTATGTATTAAGTACGAATCATATGCTTTGTAATATATGCTTAATTGTTACGTTGTCTATCACTTTTCGAACTAATGGGTTCATAAACGATGGTTATAAAACAAATATAAATACATGAAATATTATGTTTATTTAAACTTTGTTCTCTAACCTGTGTAGATACTGGTAAGCCCAGGTTATCTTTCGAACACGTTTGTCTGGTACAAAACTGAATCAGATCAGTTCATGGAGTTCACTGGATCTTGACTATCATTCATACAGAAAGATCAGGTCTCGGAGGATGTTAATAGAAGAAGTACTGAAAGCTTTTAACTGGTAGAAGAATATTGCCGAGTTCAGCATGACATTAATGTAAGATGGTTTGGATGGACTTGGCAGGCATCTTATAGTTAAGGAAAGTGTCAGCACCATCAGTCACAGAGACGTCCACTTCGCTCTCCCCTCTGAAAGCAAATATCAGTTAACTGTTGTATAGCTTCGAATACTGGATAAGCTAAGAAAAATGAAAACTTACAAATGAACATAATAAAATATGTTATTTGGGTTATGAAAATTTTGTCGGAGTAATCTGAATTTAAAATTATTAACCGAACCTAAAGAAATCTGTGAAATGTGGTCAGCATCTCTTACTAATAAATTTAATTATGTGATGATTTGGGACGTTGTAAAAAATCCAGATACATGTGTGCGTCAAAAGGGCTTAAAAACCCCTAACAATCTAATAAAAAGAATTTTTTAAAGGTCGCCCGGTAATTTGTGAAGGATATCAATGCCCAACAGCTCCATGGCGGGTCATCACATGACTAAGACCCGCTTGGGAAAACACTTGTCTTTTTCCCGACGAATCTTTTTAAATCATACTTTTGTCTTATTTGTTAGAAGAGGACAACATCGCCTGGGGGTCAATAAAGGGGCAGCGTTTCAAGTGTTCGCGGTGGGGGAGGGGGGACACTCGCTCAGACCATCCACCCCAATTACTGAAGGGCCCATAACGTAGAACATTGTTCTTGTAGAACTCCCCCTCATCCTGGGATCATATGTAAGTTTTTTTCCGTTTATACCCACTGAAGAGTTTTTTTTGCAGTGCCGTAAAACCGTTTGCTATAATTGTTTGTATTTAATTTTTAAAAAAAAAAAAAACAGTTTTAAAGGGGACTAACTTATAACCTTTTTTCAAAAATATTTGGGGTGCAAAATAATAAAAAATTTTCCTTTTAAAATTTTTGTTCAGAATACTCTCATTTTTTATTGGGGCAGCCAGTGGACGTTACGTGAAATATTTTTTGCACACAAAAAAAAAAAAAAAATTTTTTTTTACTATCCAGGGGGTCTTCTACGCCAAAGGTGGGTTCTAAAAAAAAAACAATTTTTAAACCCTCATTTATTCAAAAACAGTTTACAATGTAAACACTTACATTAAATAGCGCTCCAAAACAACATTACATTTTTTTTCGGGGGGCCCCTGTCTTCCCACCCCAATCGGGGTAACAGTTTATCCTGAATCTGTTTTAAAAGTCACCCTTTCCCCCCACTCCAACACACGTCAAACCTTAAAAAAAAACTGTGTCCCCTTTCCGGGCCTTTCCCAATCCTTCCGAGACAATCCGCCCTCACTTTTTAGCCAATTTATTTACCCTCTTCATCCTCTTCTGCTTCAACCCTTTTTAAAAGGCCACTCACCCCAATACATTTCTCCCCCTAAGCTTTGAGTAAAAATAATATTATGATAGTTCCCAAGTACAGAGCAGCCGACTTTCATGAGATGCACCGACCGAACTATTAGTAATAAACTGGACCAAACTATTAAATGTAGACAACGTTCTTGTGTTAGGAGCAATTACTCCTTCATCTCTCGTCAATAGATAGAACGATAATGAGGAGTTATACTAACAACATTAATGATGACAGGGGCATCAAGCATGTTGAAAGCCCAATTGGGTCCACCAAACAAGTTCAGAGCCCTGTTCCAGTCCACCCAGCCAGCCGAGTAGTGGTTTACAGCCTGTAGAAATACGCTCCATGTACAGTTTGCTCAGTATTAGGAAATCTGTTTACATTTTACAATGAAGAATAAATGACACATTGGAAAATGAATAATCATATATTACTTGTCTTTTCTAACATGAAAATTTTTTCAGTAAGGATTTCAGTACTTGTGGAAGTGTGATAGAAAATACCTTAATATTTGTTTATACTGACGCAGCAAACATTTTCATAGTATATACAAATACACAAACATTTTGTTCAATTTGCTTAAATCCTGAGTCACTATAAATAGTCTTTACGTAAGAAAATTAAGAGCAATTGTTTAACGTAACAAAATTAAGAACAATTGCTTTACGTAAGAAAATTAAGAGCAATTGTTTAACGTAACAAAATTAAGAACAATTGCTTTACGTAAGAAAATTAAGAGCAATTGTTTAACGTAACAAAATTAAGAACAATTGCTTTACGTAAGAAAATTAAGAGCAATTGTTTAACGTAACAAAATTAAGAACAATTGCTTTACGTAAGAAAATTAAGAGCAATTGTTTAACGTAACAAAATTAAGAACAATTGCTTTACGTAAGAAAATTAAGAGCAATTGTTTAACGTAACAAAATTAAGAACAATTGCTTTACGTAAGAAAATTAAGAACGATTGCAGACGTGGTAGGAGTAAGTTACGTGATAAAACTGCAAATCTTTGTGGAGCGAAGCTGGACTGATGCAGCCTTTGAATACATGATTAAAAACTGAGTTCTGTTTAACTATAAAAATGACTTACGAATGATGGAGTAAAATCACAATAACCACATAAATCAGAAATGAAGTCTGGACGACGTCCAGTCACGGTATTTTAATTTTTTATTTTTAATAGCAGATGAACTAGTTCTTACTTCAGAAACGTGATGTGCACACTCCTCTCCTCGCTGCCATGATCCAATTTGTGTAAAGTCGTAGTCTGTAAAACGACTCTGAGTCTTAGTTTTAAAAACTGCGAAAACTAGTGATGATATTTGTCTCTCGCCTCAGATATCAGTAAAAAAAAAAATAAAATAATGTGGTTAATGAGACAAAATTTGTAGAAGAATCCTGCAAGATTATAAAGCCTGAAACTTATGGAACGTAAGGTAAAACAAAGTACTCGGCAACTTAGTCTAATAGATAAGTTTACGCTCAAGTGTGTCCTTTATCAAGTCAAACAGAGGTATAGATAATACCTTGGGGTATAGATAATACTGGGGGTATAGATACTACTGTGGGGTATAAATGCTACTATGGGGTACTTTGCAGAATATCAAGCTCTCACTTGAGGGGAAGCTTGTCCAATAAAACTCCTCATACTAAGTGTTTTCCTCTATATATTCTTATATATGTTTAGTGGCATGAGCAATATTTTCAAGATCTATATTTTCATGGCCTATAAATATCCACAAGCTCAAACCCATGGTAATAGGCAGGTTTAACATTACTCTGGCATAGCTTTGTCTAAATACGATAATGGTATACAATACCAACAAGCAGATAAATATGACACGTGCAATAGTTAGGCGAAACGTTTCGGAATAAGGATACCTAACTCTTGCACGTGTCTTACTTATATGCTCATAGTTTTGTCAAGTCTGGATAGGTTTATTTGGCACGCGACTGCCGACTTTTGATAATATTGGCATTTGTATATTTTACTTTAACGTTTAGTGAAATACACTGTCCTTTTGCACCCCACATGAAGGTTCTTAAACCATTCTTGCGCCTTAAACCCTTTATTTTTATGTAAATTTTTTCGTACTTACTAAAACAGGCCTCAGTGTAGAGAATGAACCTTTCTGGAGAAAGTTCGTGGGTCTCGTCCAGAACAGTAGCGCTGACTTTCGAGTCCGAGTACCAGTGGACGGCTGTACCGTCAACGTACTGAGCACACTCAGGGTCATCCAGTAACTGGAAAAAACGTGTGATATTTTTCAGCGTGCTTGTTAGTCACGGTATCATTATTGATGTTACAGTTTACCGTAATTTGTAATTTCAAACGCTGATACAAAGATTTATCGACATCTGAGATGCAGTCAAGGTGTTAGGAACGACAGTGTCCGATGTTAGTTATTTTCTTTAGCACTAGGAATGAATTTTTCTTCTTCGAACTCCAGATATCTGTCCTCACCAAGAAGCCAACCAAAATTCAGAGACGCCTTAGTCCACTTGGCCATCAATGCTTCACACATCAGATGTCCAGTACCACTGGACATGTCATCCCTGATGCATGCACGTACGTGGCCATGGAAGCTACATAACTAATTTCATTCTCCTTCTGTTTGGAATACCAGTCTTCACGAGCAGTACACGTATTAATGAATTCACGAACGAGTGATTTTAAGCAAATAACAATACTGCTACTATCCTGGGATCGAACCCCCGATATTTTAGCATGCGTCCCGAGAAGCCTGCCAAATTATATTTCTATATATATATATATATATATATATATATATATATATATATATATAATATATATATAATATAATATTTATAATAATATATATATATTATATGAAGCAGCTAGTATATGAGAGCTTTCGATGCTATAATTATGATGAAGCATGAGCTTCCACGATAGTTAATAAGAAAACCCTTGATTTCTATTTGAGATTTTATATGATATATGCTATATTATCAAAACTAATGGTATTTTCACAATTATTGATCCGCTATAAAGTTGCATTAAGTAAAACTTAATGCATGTAATATGCTGCCCAGCTTAGATTATGAAATTCAAATACAACACGTTATACCCAGGACTTGCTGTCTCGGCGAACCAGGGCAGAGAGTCTCTGTTGAAGTCAACTATCATCATCTTAAGACGACGATACCCGTTTGCCTCCAGTGTGGGTCCAAGATTACCTTTCAACCAGTCACGCATTTCCTCGGCCGTCCATCCACAACAGTTTATGGGCCACTGTTTCAACAAATACACTAGTTAACCATAAGAAAATAGTTCTTCACTTTTTAAACTGGTTACTTCTTACTATACAATTTTAAAGCAGGAATAAGATCAATTATAAGATTTATTATTTACAGTGCAGAGAAATTCTTACATTATTGAGGCCACCGAGGGATTCATTCTGTGGTGTGAGTCACCACAGACCAACTCCTTCTGCTTCATATGCCTCCACGAATCTGTTAAATTAAATAAAAAACATACCAAACCAAAAAGTAAATAAGATAAATATATCGATATATAATTATTTAAAACAAGGTATACATTTGAATGTTTCCGAGTTTATCACTAAGCACCGTCTTATTACTTACTTAACAAGGTAGTTAGCATAGGGCTGCCACATTTCATTTATGAGTATTCCAGCTCCATTGAACTCTCCATTAGTCTTCATCCAGGCAGGAGGTGCCCAGGGTGAGCCAAACAACTTCACCGGCCTAGGAGCCAATTCTATGGCTCGCAGGATCAGTGGGATCTGAGGTAATTAAATGATTGTCACAAGTGTGAGAGAAGAAATACTTTTGCATTCTCTAAATACATTTGTGGTTTTCATTTTTTTTGTGAATATAAAAAGAGAGTTGGTAGCTAGCTAATTGCTCCTAAGGGACAAAATTTAGCGTTGTTCAATGTTCATATAGTTTCTTCAAGGGGAGGGGGGAGAGGTTCCTTGATACTGGTGAAAGATTTCTGATCTAAGAAACTGGAGATACTATGGAACTGTATAGATCAAGTCTGGTTACTTTCCATTTTTCAGATGTTATAGGACCCTTACATGTTTAGGACTGCCTTCTAAAAATTATTGTTTTAATTAATTTTTACACATTGATGACTTTTTTCGTTGGGCCTAACTAATACTGTCTGGTGCTAATTATTACTTTTGACCTTCACCCGGAGCCTCAGCATGGCAACTAAATTCTCATGATAAAAATTTTGCAGAATTATAATCAGGATAAGAGACGACTATACAAGCAAACTGAACCACCTCTGAACTCGGCGATTTGTTAGTTTTGATAAGATAAAGTGAAACTGCACTAACAAAAGCGATTTCTATCAGTATTCACCTTATAATCGTAATCCTCATAAGTCAGGTTCCAGTGTACAAGGTCGACATCTCCCTCCACATCATCGTAGGAGTAGGTCCTGGTGGAGCAGTCAGCACCAGCGATAGGGATGCGACCGATGGAATATGCGTTACCTTCTTCAGCAAAGTAGGATCTACGATTGTAAATAATGAGACATAAATTATCTTCTGAATTATACTAACCCTACCCTTCCTCGGATCAAACCTGGTTTACCTCCACCCTTTGTACCACCAGGGGTTTAGTGTTTCCCATGAATATGGCAATAATGCATAGACTACTAGACATATTTTTTCCATCTTATGAGAACAGTCGTTTATACTGTAGTGTGAATACTACTGGACGATGCTTGTTTTACTCAAAAAAAAATTATACATTGTTTAAAAATAGAAACATTTTTGCAACTTTTAATTCCACTTTTAAAGCTGTATGACCAGCAATAAATGTATTTTGTTTTAGATTGTGTAGACAACATAATGTCATGTATAAACTTGGTATATTTTTTATGTGTATTTTAATATGTTGTAGAATGACTGAAGGGCATAATACAACATTTATCACTGAGAACGTAAGTACAACAAGAATTAAAAATTGTCTCTTTTGTAAAGAAATGAGAAGGGGGAGGTGTTAAGACAAGTTATCCTTGAGATACATTAGTCATGAACACTCCCGACCTGGTCAGGACTACATTAGCTGGGATTAAAACTGCTAGGTATTAAAATAAACAATTTCTGACGGCAAGCGATTTGCATATTGTGTGGATCAAAGAAATAATTATTCTCATCAAATAATATTTAATTAGCTATGAAACATTTTGTTTCATGCGAGTCTTAATTTGCCGATTTTTTGAAAATTTGTGTTTTCGACATAACAAAACGGAGCTAAAAATTTTGTTTGTCTGTAAATCTCAGATGGTCATATAAGTTTTGGTGATCGGGTAATGCAGCCGTGTTCACCGTCTGGACCGAGACACAACAAAAGAATGAATGCTCTTTCAAAATAGGGATTTACCTATTTCTGATTTCCACAAACAGAATGAGAAGGTACCAGAGCGAAACCTTTCTTTACCTGAGGAAGTATTCTTGGGCCTCGCTGGGAAGGCTGACAACGTTGAAACCTGTGGAGTCGGTGAAGGCTCCGCCGAAGCCCAGCATTGTCTGGTACAAGTCATTACGGTTCACCGTCACCACCATAGCATCTGACAAGAACACATATATTGCTACTATTGTTTGTTGTGTGGTGCAGTGGACATCTATTCCTTGAATATATATATATATATATATATATATATATATATATATATATATATATATATATATATATATATATATATATATATATATATATATATATATATATAGCCATCATTTCAATCCCTCTCAACCTTCTCTTGCACTGCAAGCTGCCACCCCCAAGACCTCGGAAACTTAGCCTACTGGCTCTTCTGAGGAAGAGAAAGAGGTTGACAACTACGTAAGAGGATTGGAATGGGACAACCTTTTCTCCTATACCTCTCCTTCCTACAGCAGTTCCATGTTCTGCAAGAAACTGTACAAAAGACTGTATGATGGCACACGTCAAGGTCAATATAACCGACACAACCAGTCCTGATGAACTGTCCCATCTCTCCAGATCAATCTTTAAGAAATTTAGAAACGGCCCTTCGACTGCACGCTCGCCTTAATCCACCTCGACCACTACAATCAACACCATGTGCTGCTCTCTCCTGTGACCCTGCCTGCTGACCTACCTCATCAAGACCTTCCCAGAATGACTGCCTATTAGTGCTGTCTGCTTCTTCTGCTCTCCACGTCTCCCATGAACGTTCCACCGCTAGGATAAGCCCTTTCTACAACTGCAGATACTATTATTCGCCTGCAACTGTAGCGCTATTATTCACTTGTCTCCAATTGAAGACTCGCCACTCAAGGGACTTTCCTGGATTCACCTGCCTTGATGTCGGTGAAGGGCTCCTGATCCGAGGAATTTAAGCTACTTTCCCCTTCTTGAGCTTGAATCTGCTTGCCTCCGATTCCCTTAGGTACTGTATGAACCAAAATAGTTTAGCTCTTCCCCATAAGTGTTGCATAGAAGCAGTGTGATAAAAGGCATCCTAACTGGTACACTTGAATTAGTCACACGGTCTTTCAAATAAATACAGTCAAATAAATATGAGAGAATATGTTGGTATCTTGGCGTTGAGGATGGAGCTCATTTTCTTAGAATATATTTAATTCACAAGTGGAGCAGTGGGAGTGATAATGTGTTGGGACAGAGGTGATGATAATGTTGGGGGCACTAGTGAAAATGTGATGGTATGGGGTCAGAAATGAAGGTAATGTGTTGGTAATGAGAGTGGCGGTGACAGACAGGGCTGTGCTGACGTACATTATTCATTACCTTGAGCTGCTACACAGCACAAGAACGCCAACAGTATTCCAAAAGTCCTCATGGCTAGCCGAGGAAGTTCTCCACCTTCCTCTTGCTGCTACTGTACGACTCTGCTGTTGTAAGACTCAGCTGCTGTACGGCTCTGCTGCTCACCTCAGACACAGTGTATATATATATATATATATATACACACACACCTGGCATTGTTGCCACATGCAGAATCTCCAGCTTCTCAGGCACTCTGCACCACGCTCGTCCGTGGCACTGTTCACAAGACTATGTTGGATCGGTTCTCAGGATGCCTTGCCCACAAGTGGCTCGAAATACAGTAAAATATTATGTCATAAATGGGACAGATGGATACACAATCTATTATTTGTAATCCATCACTGCTTTTCATTAACCTGATTAATTACCATTCTCCAGACGGTGTATGGTCATTGTATATAGCGCTTCTCAATACATTAATAATAATAATAATAATAATAATAATAATAATAATAATAATAATAATAATAATAATAATAATCTATTCGAGCGTTTTTCCTGACAAAATAGCACAAATTCGGCAGATTGATCACGGGAATGGCCCTCGGTTCAAGAAGAGTGCCAAAAAGGTTTCTGATGAATGTAGCTACAGAAAGGGAGGGGAATTATTTTTTATTTTTTTATCTAACACAAGTGTAATTATTCCTAGTAATAACCCTCGTGTAGTAGATAGTCTTAATGACCCTCGTGTAGTAGATAGTCTTAATGACCCTCGTGTAGTAGATAGTCTTAATGACCCTCGTGTAGTAGATAGTCTTAATGACCCTCGTGTAGTAGATAGTCTTAATGACCCTCGTGTAGTAGATAGTCTCTTTAGTATGATAATAAGATGTTATCTTCATTGTAGAATAATAAGAAAATATTATAACCTTTATATTATAATAATAAGGTAAAAGGACCCCAATGGAAATAAGTCACCCTGTCTGACTTTTTTGGGTTATCCCAGGTTCTCTACACATATGCTGCTATGTATGATAATTCCATGTAACTGTATTTGTGTATACCTGAATAAACTTACTTACTTACTCGGTAAATTTTCCACCCGCAGAGGTCAATGAGTCATTAAAGCACACATGGAGACATTAAAACACGGAAAACATTTGAATATATATTATATATATATATATATATATATATATATATAATTATATATATATATATATATATATATATATATATATATATATATATATATATATGTCGTGCCGAATATGTAAAACTGGTCAATAGCAAGAACTCATTTAAAATTAAGTCCTTTCTGAAATTTTCTCTTATACGTTTAAAGATATATTTTTTTCATTAATGTTAATGTAAAAAATTTTTAATTTTGCACCAAAAGAATCTTAGAAAACTTACCTAACCTTATTATAACAAGAACAATTTATTTTAGCCTAACCCAACTAAATATATTTTAAATACGTATACAATAATTTAGTACTAAACAAACACAATCAAATATATTTTTTTCGTTAGGTTCAGAATGATTTTGGCGAAATTATTGCATACACAAATTTTCACTTGTCCTATATGGCAAGATGAGCGTTGCTGTTTAAGCCAAGATCGCAAGTTCTGCCTATTCGGCACGACATATATATATTCACCAACCTGCAGCAGGCCAGGACTCGACCCTACGAACCTTGTGCCGCCTCCAGAGACAGCACAATGTACGCATCGCCTTACCACTAGGCCAGCGATCCTACAAAAACCAAGCACATAAACAGGATGAGGCTGAAATTAATCCTTGAGATACCACTACCACGAGTGTCCTCGGACCAAGGCAAACACATAGCTCTATGCTGTGTGCTTGGTTCTTGTAGGATCGCTGGCCTAATGGTAGGTTGATGCGTACATTATGCTGTCTCTGGAGGCGGCACAAGGTTCATAGGGTCGAGTCCTGGCCTGCGGGACAAGCCACGGGGGGGGGGGAATCTTTAGCTCAAGTATTTTCACACTTCTCAGTGCGTCATCAGGAGCTGTGCAATGTTGCAAGGGAGCAACCAAAGGAGGGAGAGAGGTCTCAGAGTAGCGTAGGTGTCACCGTCCACGGTTACCCTTAGACTGCAGTTAGTGGTCGGTGCCAACCCCACCCCTACCATCATTCCCCTACTCCCCATATGGCGTAGGAGAGTTTCTGAGATGTTAAAGATAGCACGTTAGTTCATGTAATTATCCACCAGGGTGGGATGCTGCCCAGATTACAGTACCAAGCAGTTCTTTTATGGAAAGAAACATAAATGAATCTTCCGTCTTGAAACGTGAAAGGAATGCAGTATACAATTCAAATTATGGGTTATACAAGCTCGATAACTATTTAGTAAATTCTCATAGTACACAATCTTAAACAACAATGCTATACAAAATCACAGCATTGTTCATTATGCCAGGTGGGTTGATGGATTGGTAACGTCCGGCCAGTGTCTACGCACCAAAACTTCAAACCACGTCAGTTGTGATGGTTATATAACGCGTGTAGCTGTTAATGTACCATACAGTGACAAGCACACAAGATAACGAGATAACGTAAGGAGAGGTTAAAGGGTATTAGTAGAATTTAGCTCATAGAAATATTATCGGATAGGCATAGAAGATCCCAATGTATGGCATATTAACCGACACTGAGAAAAATAGTAGACAATGTTTAGAAAGAGATACTTCTGAGTACATGGGTAGAACATCCGGGTACCTCAGAGCAGGACATTTAAATGGACAAAGAGCACATTCTATTCCTTTCTTTCATTATTTGAAAAGGTCACACAGAATAATAGCTATCCTTGTCTACAGTATCTAACGAGAAACTTATTTTCTCAAACCACATGACCTGTTATAAACGATTAGAAAAAGCTTCGGGCTGGAATTTTATATCTGGTGCTAGTGGTGGGCTCTTGGTCCGGGAATTGGAGCTAACTCATCTCTTCCTCGGATCAAACATTATTGTCTGCCATTCCCCTGCGTTGTATTATCCATACAGGTTTAGTCTTTGTCAATAATAATAATAATTTATTATTATTATTATTATTATTATTATTATTATTATTATTATTATTATTATTATTATTATTATTATTATTATTATTATTATTGTCACAGGAGCTGTCACGTTCAACATGATCATGTATTCGAATTCTATTTTAAACTCAGTGTATATATACTGAAAATTCACATCTTGCTAAATATATATTTATTTTTATTTTATTTCTAATCATCTTACTTTGTGTCTCATAATTTTTGTATATAGTTAAGTACATATTAGTTGATCGGTCACTACATTTAATAATACAATTATCAATGTGAGAATTTGGAATTATCATTATGATTACAAATATTGTAAATGTCAGACATTATTTTCGAAGTGTTTATATGTTATGTCAAGTCAGGTGAGAGAGTTCATCATGGGAAGACTGATAAAAATGGTGTTATGTTAGGGTAGGCCTATTTTGAGCCTCGTGGTAAAGATCAAGAATCATCTCTACTAAATCATTCATGTTTAATTTAAAAAAAAAATGCTAGAAACAGCCACCGAAGACCTATAGGAGTCAATTCTAGTTTTCCAAAATTTGAAGAGAAAATCTTACGAGACTAGCAAGATAACGCTGAAATTTATATAAATTTGCTTGAGCCATAAGGCATATCTGATTGGCAGAGACGTCAGAATAACTTACACAGATATGATACCTGATGGGAAGCTATTGTGGAAACTTAAGTTACAAAGTACGTCACTAAGTCGTCTTAGATGTGTGACAGCTGATAATACATAA